TCTCTTTATATAAACCTGAAAATAACAGATAATTTTTTAACTTTCTGAGCAGTTTACCCTTGTTACAAGTGAAGGTAGTGTAGTGAGGAAGACTACCAATACTTGTGCATTATTACTGTAGCCATAGTATTTTATTTTATTTATTTATTATTATTAATTTTTTTTTTGTATGAAACACTGAAAAATTTTACCATAAATCTGTGAAATACAATTGAAAAATTTAATGTATTTTTAATTGATTTTCTTATATAACAGATGAAGTGCAACATATAAGGCATCCTTACTGTGTATACCAGTGTTAATGTTAAAAGTTAAAAGTTAAAATGTAAGCCTGAAGCATTGAAAGTTTTGGCACTTGAAAATTAAATACTTCAGCTAGCCTCTCAACAGATGTTTCTTGCTTGTCAAATGAGGTCTTTATATTTTTATATGAATATTCTGTTAATATATATTGTTTCTTATGTATTTTATTTTGTAGAGTGATTTTAAGTATTATATTGCATAATATTCTTTATTCAGATGAATAAGAAATTAATTATGACTGGCATAAGAAATAAAATTGTGTACATATCTAGAAACTATATGATCCTCACACCCTGCCCATTGATGTCATGGATGATGACGATGTTTATCCTGAATTTTATAACCACATTGCATGACTCGTTAGAAACCTATCAGAACAGTATATAAAATATATATAGTAATGGAAAATTAGTTAAACATGTAGTTTCAAATTTGTCTAAAGAATAGCTTTTCAGTCAAGGAACTTTATAAATTCACTCGGCTGGGAATGGATATGCTAAAAAAATTAGATTGTGGTTGGGCATCACTCCTTTGGATAATGCCTTTGCAATAACAAATTGATGTGTATCACTTTTGTTGTTCTAGTTGCTGTTATTAATACTACTTTCATTATCATTATTATTGTTATTATTTTAATTATTTTAAATATTAATTTTAGGAGTAGTAGTATCATTATTACTATTTATAGTATTATTGTTGTTCTATTATCATGATTGTCATTGACAATATTATAGTCATTGTTATTTGTGTATGTTGTTATGTACTGACTTTTAATATAATCATATATATTTTGTTCTTTATTTGCTTCTGACATTACTTTTTGTCTTGTAGTCATTGTTGTTACAGTTATGATTGCCATAACATATAAAAAAGGTTATAATAGTATATGCAATTATCATGATGACTGTCAATAATACACATCTGTCCAAGGTTGAAATGGAAGCCGTGCCTTCCTGTCCCACTCCAAAGGAAACAACTGATCACACCTACCACACCCAAGCCTTACTTGCCCGGTACTTTCTCGCCCTCGAGCAATTCCAGCGTACTCACCACTTGTCACAGCTGGAAGTACTGACAACCAAAGAATCAAAAGCAGGCACCCACCAGCAGGACAGCAGTTGCAAAATATAAGGACATCTCGTCAAAAGAAGAGGCAGACCAGAGACCTAGCAGAGAGAAGAACAGCAGTAGTCACAGGACAAGGTCGTCACCCTCCACCCTCAGCACCCGGGGCACGGGGTCTCCCATGGAGTCATGCCTTTCTTCCATAATAAACCAGGAAGCCAAGACCCCTTTCATTCCACCAACCTCCATGCCCTCCACTCGTTCAAGGTTGAAACGGAAGCTGTGCTTTCCAGTCCCAGTCCAGAGGTAACAGCTGATCACACCTACCACGCCCAAACCTTACTTGCCCAATACTTTCTCACCCTTGAGCAATTCCAGCAAACTCACCCCTTGTCACGGCCGGAAGTAATGACAACTGAAAAATCAAAAGCAGGCACCTGCCAGCAGGACAGCAGTCGCAAAATATATGGACGTCTTGTCAGAGAAGCAGAACAGGAGTAGTCACAGTACAGGAGGTCATCCTCCGCCCTAGGCATTCGGGGCACATCTTTAGCTCTCCCAATAAACCAGCAAGCCAAGACCCCTTTCATTACCACCAACCACCATGCCCCACCACCCTATCACAAAGACATTAATTTTTATCTATACTAATACTTTTATCATCATTATTTTTAGCACCATTGTTATTGTAAGAACTCATCTTTAATTATATTCCCCTTTTCATTGTAATCATTGTCAGTAGGTTCATGTGCCACTGTCTGGTGAAAAACAGAAGTTAGTTTTGTCATATGTATGTTGAAGAAAAGCACAATTTTCCTAGTTGCAGTTGTAGTTATCATATATTTATATTATCTTTAAGTATTCCTGACAAAGTATTTGCTACATCATTAGTGTGTTACTATATTTAATATCTGGTATGCAAGTGATCATTTATACATGTGCAAAAACTCTTCAAGAGTGGAGATATTATAAACTTGTTAGCATTTTTATTGTTTTTCAGGCATTATAGTGTCAAGCTTAATTCTTAATTTATTCTTTTGTTACATAGTGTTCTATGATTTTGCGTTATTTTGCTTTATGTAATGAAAGATGCTCTCTATGTACAAAAAAACTTTAAAATATTTCCCTCTTACTCTTTTTTTTTTTTTTCATAATATTATTACCTAGTCTTTCTCTTGTGTTACAAGTAATAGCATAAAGGACTTGAAAAATTGTGAACAGATATTAAGGTAATGAAATAGCTCCTGTAATAGCTTGGAACCACTTCAGTGTCAGTTGTAATAAAAGAAAACAAATATACCATTTAAAATTGTGTAATTTTTTCTTTAAATAATTAACAATCGAATGTACGTGACCTGATATACCAATAAGAAAGGTTTAACAAAATGAGTGTACTAAAATCATAATAATAATAATAAATAAAAGTAAAATAAATCGCATCAAATGACTAAAAGAGATCTTTTATTCCATATCCAATAATGTTCCCCAATTTCAAATACCACTTCAATAGTTACTAAACATTTCTGAATAGTAATGTGTATTAATATGTTCAACATCCTCAACTTCTGTTGTAGGTGTTTCCCCAGCCTCTCTTATGTGTGTCTCGCCACTCGTCCATTTCCCGCTCATGTGCAATCTTATCAGGATCATCCCGCTCTTCTGCAGCTTCCTTTTCTGCCTCTTCTTTTTCTTCTGCTTCCTTTTCTGCATCTGGTCCAGCAGCAGCACGATCCTGAAGGCAGTTCTGATTCTTGCTTGGGTCTGGGAACCTGGTGTCAGATACCATAATATAAGATTACTTTTAATTTGTTGTAAAAAAAAAAAAAAAATGTAAATGCAAATAACTTGGAAATACTATTTTGTTACAGAGACTGACTTCACATAAGCTAACCACTTTATTAACCACAAGGCATGGTCATACATGCCATGGCTATTGTGGACAAAGTAGTAGGTGGCATTGTATTCACTTTTCTCAAGTTATTTTATATATCTAAATATAAGCTTTTAGGTGCCTAATATTGCCTGTAAACTACTGAACGAATTGGTCACAAACGGGAAACTGTCTGTGTGCGCCAACAACTTCACGATGTCCACTTGCCTTTTTTTTTTTTTTTTTTTTTTTTTAACTAAGGTTAATGGGACAATATTCAGCTAGTTCACTGTATCATCACTAAAGATAATTAGACCACCTAAACTGATCACGTTAAAATCCTTATCTGATAAAACGTGCATAAGATTTTGAAAATATCAGTAATAAACACAAATGAAGACGTTTCTTTCAGATTACTTCACAACCAAACTTTCTTGACATTCTGCCACAAAAATATCCAACCATTAAAATTTAGATATGTAGATATATCATCAAATCTAATGTAGCTTACCATCCTTCTCTAACCCTCTGATCATAAAACTCCTCTACAGTCATAGAAGGTAGACTTGGATATCCAAGACCAAATACATTCTTCTGCATGGCATCCCTTGTTATAAGAATAGGCCTAGAAAGGAAAAAAGTAGAATAAGTATTAATAATATATCTGTACCATCTGAAATTGGACAAGTCGACTATTCAAAGAAAAATTAAACAAAGAAACAAAATGTACATAAAAGATATATGTGGTACTTGGAGCCCTTTCATTACCTAGGGGTTTTGCCCATAAGCCTCACCCAATTGTTATATTTTGTATACGCCACTAATGACTTTAGATGTTGATGCAACAGAAAATTTTCAATAAATGAATTGGGGCCACAAAGTCACCCATTTCAAACTATGGTTATTAAGGGTGTGCGGCAGTTTCTGACCAATTCTTGCACTTGATGTGTTCCTTATATTCCTGCTGCTACAGCTCTTACATTTAGTAGCAGCTTTAATGATATATTATCTTGATGTCTAGCACATTTAGCTGTCAACCATTAACCATTATCCATTAGCAGTAGCTTCTGGTCATGTAGATAATGGATGGTGCTAGGTAACATCCAGTGCCTTACAAACCTTCATAGCAAGAGTATGCTTGAATATTTTGCTAATGATACAGAATGAAAAAGACATCAGGACCACAAAGGAAGAAATTAAGACACAGCTTGCAGAGATGGTAATGAAGAACAACATGCAAGAAATATTGCTAATTTGGCTGCTGTAAATAAGGACATAATCATAATGGGACATGAAGAAAAAATTTGTAGAAGATGAAATTGAACAATACAACGAGGACAAGAAAATAATTGTAAACATTCTCAAGGTCATAATTCCTGAATTTGCTGAGCAGAATATCATAGCTCATAGGAGGCTGGGATTATTTGAAAAGGGAAAGAAACACCCCCTAAAAGTAACCTTCATGAATAAGCAAATGGTAACTGATATAATAAAGAAAGGCAATGACCTGGCCTCCCATGAAGAAAATAAAGAAATCTGGATAGGGTGACAGAGAAACACACACACACACAAAAAAAAAAAAATTGGTAGTAAAGAGCAAAAATGAACAAAGGACAGAAGAGGAAAAAAACTTTTTATTTGCAGGGTGAGAGTCTCCAAGCAAAGCAAATATACTATCAGAACCAAAATGTAGAGACAGACAAACATTAACCCTGCAGCCAAAAGGATTACCGAAAGATTATATAGAAATAGTTTATATAAATATTGATGGTTTATCTTCGAAGTTGCTAGAACTAGAGACAATTGAAATGAATAAACCAAATGTAATATGTATCATTGAAAACAAACTGGATCCCTCCATAGACAATGTAAGTATAATATTTAGAGAAAAGACAGGGCAGATGGAAATGGAGGGGAGGTAGCAATATTAACTAGGAAAGGAATTATTACAAGGGAGTTTGAAATTAATCAAGGCACCTTAGTGGAACTGAAGGTAACTGAGGTCAAAATAAATGGGGTAAGCATAATAATAACCATGGTATATATGCCACCTCATACATTAGTGTGGTCATAAGAAAATAACCAAAAAATAATTCAAGAAACATTAAAGAGCATGGAAGAAGTACTACAACTTTCGAAAACCAATGCAAAAGAAATTCTTATTAGAGGGGATTTTAATAGCAAAATTGACTGGGACAGTTTCAATCCCAGAGCACAACCACATTCGTGGAATGCTATATTACTAGAAGTCAAAAATGAGTATGAGGATATGAGGGCTAGATAGGCTGTCTATGCTTGACCTAATATTCACAAAGCATAACAATGATATTAAGGATATTAGTACTGTCCTCCTTCAGGAAAAAGTGACCATGTAGTGATTAAACTAAAATACTGTCTGCTAAAGGAAAAACTCATTGTAAGCAAGGAAAGAAAGGAAAAGTACAATTATGAAAGAGGTGATAAACTGGGAAACACTTCTGGGCAATGAAAACCTTCATGTTCAGTATTCAAAATTTTGAGAGACCTATAAAAAAAGGAGTGGAAAAAACTTCAAAATTGAAGCAAGAAATGGCCAAAAATGGTTCAATGACAAATGCAAAATGAGAGAAAACAAGCAACTCCTCTGGAAAAGAATCAGAAAACATAGATCTCAGGTGGGGTATAAAAGATATAAAGTAGGAAGAAATGAGTATACCCAAACCATGAGAGAGGTGAAATTAGACTTTGAAAAGGATATAATCAACAAATGTACAAAACTCTTCTTTAACTACATAAGTAGTAAAACTAAGAGTAGTGATCAAATTAGTACCATCAAAGACAATAACATTATTTATTCTAAGGAGGAAGAAATGTGTGAAATCCTAAATGAGAAATTTCAGTCAGTGTTTGTTCAGGATCCATACTTTGATATGGTAAATATCCATACAAACGTAAAGAACATAGAAAATATCACCCTCAAAAAGAATGAAATAAAAGATCTACTAAAAGGATTAGACAAGACCAAAGCAGAGGAACCAGAAGAAATTTCAAATTGGGTTTTCAGGAAATGTGTCAAAGAACTATGTACTTATTGTTAATATTCCAAAATTCAGTGAGACAAGATAAAATACCAAAAAGTTGATAACTCACTAATGTTACAACCTTATATAAGAGTGGTGACAAACAAAACCCACTAAATTATAGACCAGTTTCGATAACTTGGGTAGTATGCAAGCTTCTAGAAAGGATAATTAAGAAACAATGGGTTGAAAAACTTGAAAAACATGAAATGATATCAAATAAACAATTTGATTTTAGAGAAGGAAAGTCATGCGTAACAAATCTCTTCTGTTTTTATGATAGAGTATCTGAAATATTACAAGAAAGAGACAGCTGGGTGGATTGTGTGTACATGGACTTTAAAAAGCCTTTTAATAAGGTGTCTCATAGAAGACTACTATGGAAATTAGAGCACTTAGTTGAATTGAAAGGCAAACTACTCGCATGGATGAAAGACTTTCTTCATGAAAGACAAATGAGCACAGTAATTAGAGGGAAGCATTCTACATGGCGATAAGTAACCAGCGGAGTGCCTCAAGGATCGGTTTTGGTACCAATTATATTTACTAATTTTGTCAATGATTTAGAGACAAACATAAACCCAGGTAGTTATCTGAATATGTTTGCAGATGACACGAAGATACAAAAAAAGGATAACTGACGTCTCATGCCAATGCCACCAAAGTGACATCGAGAACTTATTCACATGGAGTTGCACATGGAAAATGGAATTCAATATCAATAAATGCCACGTAGTCAGGTTCGGAGAAAGTGGAAATTGCCCACTATTCCAATATAAATTAGGAAATGCAATATTAAACACAGCTGACAGGGAAAAAGATCTTGGGATAATCATAAATAGAAACTTAAACCCAAATGGTCATATAAACAAAAAGGTCCATAAAATGCTAGGACTGATTGCCAACATGAAGAGGGCATTCGTGTATGTTGACGAAGATATAGTAAAAAACAACATTATTGCAATCAAGACCAAGCCTTGAGTACGGTGCAGTGGTATGGATATTGACAAACTGGAAAGAGTTCAAAGAGTGGCCACAAGATGGGCACCTACTCTAAGAGATATGAGTTACAAAGATAGACTACAGAAATTAGGACTTACTACCTTGGAAGAAAGAAGGAAAAGGGAGGACATGATTATGCTGTTCAACTGTATTATAGGAAGAGTGAAGATAGATAAAGATGACTTTTTTATCATGAACACA